TTCAGTATGCTTTGACTTGTAAGTGACAGAAATATGACTCAAACTAGCTTAAGCACAAGGGAGATTTAGTAGTGTATGTGATTTCGAAAGCCTGGGATGGTTTGGGCTTCTAGTAGGATTAGATCTGGGACTCAAATAACATATTCAGATTCTTTTTCTCTGCCTTCCATCTCTGCATCCCTTTGTGTATCAGCCTTGTTTTCTCTAACAGAGATGCATTTCTTCCAGGTGGCTTGGAGAAATTGCCAATCAGACATAATTATCTCAGGGAGGTGTTTTGTTTTGTTTTGTTTTCTTCCAGTACTCATATGTCTGTCTCTCTAAATGTCCCTTTTTAGTCCAGCCTAGGTCACTTAGCTACTTCTCAGATCAATCACCATTGCAAAGAGATAAGGTCAGTAAGTATGATTGACCCATCCTGGTTCACATGCAGGTGTGCATGCAAGTAGTGGCAGGGCTGAGCGGAAAATTTAACTATGACTGGCATTCCCACCAGTACCACTTACAGCATAGATAGAGGTGTTCTTCAAAGCAAGGAAGACTGAGAAGATCACAATCGACAGGCAGTCACTTTAACTTCACTGATATTTAAGCTGTGATGTCAAAGATGGCTAGTTCTTTGTTCAATGAAGCAGTGAGGGCTCATATTGTTAGAAGAAGCAGTGAGAGCAAAACCAAGATGACATGAACCTGCCTGCTGATTAGCAAACTGCAAATTGTTAGTTGAGGTTGAAGCACATGGTTAGGAGTCATGGCCAGTGATAAAGCTGTGAGAAAACCAGGAGCTTCAAGGGCCAAGTGAGGAACTTGCTCTTTGCACTTTAAGTAATGAGTAGACATTCTGAATTTTAGGGAATGGATGGAGGTGATCACATTTCCATTTTATTTTGCTTTATTTTTATTGCCAAAAAGCATGTATGTTTGCCAGAGAGAGAGAATGGGGGAGGAGCACACACACACACACACACACACACCCCGTGGATGGGTATGAAACACACACACACACACACACACACCCCATGGGTGGGTATGAACATGCTGCAATCCCTTCTTTTCCATTTCTCCATCTGGTTGGGATTTGGGGCATGCATGCGTGCACACACACACACACACTCACTCACCTAGTGTGTTTTTCAAGCTGCCAGGGCCAGAATTTGAACTGGAGTCTACCATGTGGTATACAGTTCCCTTACCCACTAGGCTATGGGGCTGGCCTGGGATTTTCATTTAAAATATTACTCTGGCAGCAGTATGAAGGGTGGCTTAGAGCAGCCAAGATTGGGAGTGAGGAAACCATAAGGAAACCACTGAAGTACTCCATGCAGAGATGAAGTATAAGCATTGAAGTCCTATGGAGTGCTAAGGTACTAAGGGAGGATAGTCTCTGTGTGCAGGTGGGGAGGTAATAGAGTATTAAAGCAGTACTCAAGGTTATAGTGGGGAAGCAAAAGGTATGGAAAATGACAGGAGAACTGGTAGGATTTAGTCTTTCAAGAAAGTGAGTATCTCAAGTGGTTCTGCTTTCTGACTTGAGTGATGTCCTTTGCTAAGATGAGAATACAGAAGGAGCAGATGTGAGGGGAGGGAGGGGGGATGGCTGAGATGGCGACTGCAGGAGTTGGGTTTGAGGGGGTGGCTAAGAATGGTTGGCAGTTTAATATGGCAATCTGGAACTCAAAGGAGAGACAGAGTTGTAGAGTTGATGAGAGTGAAAGGCCCAAGAGTTACTGGGTTGTCTCAGTTAAAGGAAGGAGAAAATTTGGAATGAGTAGCCTAGCCGGATGAGGAGTGCCGCTTGGAAACACAGTTCAAATAAAGAACTGAAGATGAGTCCCTTAATGGCATCCTGCTAAAGTTTGTCACATGGACTCATGTCTAATTCTGAACAGAGGCTGGTTGTGTAGCTTATTTACCTCCTGTCCAGTTAGGAGCGACTTTAGGACCAAACCTTCCCAATCTGGAAGGGGACTCAGCGAGTCAACAGATCCTGCAACAGCAGTAGAGGACAAAGGTTCTCATTATGGAACCACGTCCAGGGTCTTCATCAACCAAAAGAGAAATGTGAACATGCCAATGCCTCTGCCTGCTTGTACGTGTTAACAGCTGTTACCTTGAATCCAATAAGGTCTTTCCTCAGAGAAAATAGGAGTAGAGTACAATGGGATCCCCTTACCGCTTTCCCTCTAGCCTCCATTCTTACACCATCACTCTTCTGGTCTGTGTTACTCAAAGCCAAGACACCATTTTGCCTCACCCCCTAGTTCCTAGGAGTCTTGGGTGTCATTAGTTCTAGTTCTTATATTTGCCCTTTACTGGCAACGGATGTCTTTAAGCTAGGGTGAGCTTGTTACTTCATCCATTCCCATGACACAACAGGGTCAATTTAGCATGCTCCTAAGGCACTTAATGGTCTTTTAATCCAGAGGTTGGCAAACTATGATCAGTTGGCCAAATCTAGCCTACCACCTGTGTTTGTAAATGAAGCTTTATTAGAATACAGCCATAGTCATTCTTTATATATTGTCTGAGACTGCACTTGAACTATAATTGTAGCACTGAGTAATTGCAATAGAGACTGCATGTCCTGCCAAATGTAAAATGTTCATGCTCCGATCCTTTGCAGAAGAAGGTCCTGACCCCTGTTAATCCATCCTGTATACCAGTGCCAGATGAATGTTCCTGAAATGCCATTTCACCTTATCTTTCTCTTGCTTAGAATTCTGCAGTGACAGACAGTTCATTGTCTGCACAATAAAAATCCAAAGTTCTAGAACTGGCATTCAAGGCCCTCCATGATCTAGTCTTAGCCAATCTTTTGAATAGTTGCTCTCTATTCCTGAAGGCAAGCTTTCTACCCCAGCTAGGGTTTTCTCCTCATTGTCCCTGGAAGGTGCAGATTTCTGCACTTTCTCACATAGTTCCCTTTCACTGGAATGTGTTGCCAGTTACTCTCTATATAGCATTCTTAAAGGACTAACTCAAAATGTAACACATCTTTCATGGCCGTATCAGTTTACAGTGGTCACCAATGAGTCTATTGCCCCAGCATGTTAAGGGTCCACTGCCCATGCCACCTTGTAACCGTTCTTCTGCTGAGGGAATGGCTCACCAATATGATGAGGATGATGACGACAATGGGCAACTCTGCGGTGATGACTTTCTATCTGAACAAAGGTACAGAAGTAGGAAAGCCTGGAATAGTATTTGAAATGCAAGATGTGTAATTAGAACACACAGCACTCAGTTAACGTTTAGGGAGGCATATAGATGTCATCATCTTATATCCATGACATGCTGCATTTTGGTTTTGTCCTCAAATGTAGAACAACGTATTTCCTGAATGTCAGTGGGAATGAATGATAAAGTGCAGCAAACCTAGTCTTGAGGAATCCTGGGATAGAGAGATAGCAGCTGATTCTGGAAGTCCTTACTTTTCACATGGTACCTCTGAGATGCTGGATAGGTGGGTTCTTCCCATTGGGTCTCACTGATCTCGTCTACTGCCGTATGGTGTACGGTCTTGAACATATTCTGGGATTAAATAGCCCCATTATCTGGAGTTCATTGGTAAATGGTAAATTCCTAAATATTCATGGATCTCACTTTGGTAGGGGGATTATATCTCTGAGTTAGATGTTATATTTGAGTGGGTCAAGATTAAGAACTAATATTTCTTCAAGTCTGCTCGTTGCACAGACAACCTCAGTTGTAGCACAAAGTATCACTACATTGATTCAAGAAGTATTAGTACCTTCATATTCCGGGAAAAGTGGCAACTAATACGTTAAAGTTTCCATTAACACAGAGCATGACAGCCAGTCTTCTACCTACCGTCTTCTCTAGGATTTGGTTGTTGTGTTGTAAAATGCCATTATGTTCTGTCTAGCAAGTTTCTCTCTGCAGATGGGAGTAAAAGAACATGATTCAGTGTAGTAAATGTCTCAGCAAACCATCCTTGAACACTTTGGATACAAAACATTAACAAGTATGCTATAAGGGCAGGCCTTTCTATTCTAATGAATCACATTCATGTGATGTTTATTGTCTACATTCGAGAAGAAAAGTATGAAGATGGGAAGGTTCTGGTGGAAATACAAGGGAAATATATGCCCTTAAAACCAGTTTCTAAGCATTACCTAGAAGTAAACAAGTGGTAATAAAATAATAGGAAGTAGAATTGATTCCGTGCTTACGGTGTGCCAAGCACTGTTCAAGGCATTTTACCTGTATGGTCTCATTTAATCCACACCCACACCATAGGGTTTGTTACAATTGCTATCTTCACTTTATGTGGGGAAAGTCTGAGACCCTGGAGGTAAAATAACTTGCCAGAGGTCACCTGGGTAGCAAGTGGCCGGACTGGGAATTGGACCCATGAAGACAGATTCCAGACTTCATATTTACTATAACCTCAGCGAGCCCCACCCACATGACACGCTCCTTCTCAAGCTGGTTGACGCAGAGCTCACCCATCTGATTTGCATAGTTTTTATGTTCAACTGGATGATTTGTCCTACACAATTTGAAATTCCATTGGATTACTTGTGTGTACGATGTCCACCAAAGAAATCTAATCCATGAATTCCCCACTGTCATATTTATTCTATCGTATTTGCAGTTTGTAATAACCTCTATCTTTTGAATTGAGACATTTTTATTCTGTCTCTAAATTAACTGCACAGAACATGGGTGTGTGTCTGTGTGTGTGTGTGTGTGTGTGTGTGTGTGTAGAAACTGCCTTATCTTCTGGATTAAATTGTTGCAGCCTGGCTGAGTGAGGAGAATTTCTCCCACTCGTCGAGCCCACAGCAGACATGTTAGAAGAGAGCTGCTGCTTCAACACACCCAGAGACGGCAGGGCAGGTGACGCTGCGTGTGTGCCCAGTGTCTCTGGAAGTGGCTATACACATGTGTGCTGCTGCTGCTGCTCCCTGCCTTAAAATTCCTGGAGCCAACACCCACCCACTCTTACAGCCTCTCTCTCTCTCTTTCTTTTCAAGGAAAAAAGAAAGAGGCAGACTGAAATAGAAGGCAAGCGGCAACAGCTTGACGAGCAGATACTTCTGCTGCAGCATTCCAAGGTAAGCGGCTGATCCCATGAACCTATTCCATTATTAGACATGCAGATCACACTCTGGAGAGCCGGGCCAAGCCTCCTCTGCCGTGAGGGCGCTGCCACTGACCGAACCAGCCTTTCTCATTCGATCAAGAAACCATCTCATGGCTTTCCTTATGCATTTCATAAAATTCAGGGCATTGTTACAGCAGTCCAATTTCTGCAAGCGTGAAATTACAGCGTGCGTGTGGACGGATGAAGGGTGGTGTGTGCATGTGAAACGTGGTGGTTATATATAGAAATGGGGTGAGAGTAGTCCATACAGTGGATGAGGCTGGTGTTCCAGGGCTGGTTCTCCTTTGCATAGGTGCTGTGTTCAGGTACTCAGAGACCCTCCAAGATACATGTACATAATGTCTTTTTTAAATTAAAAATATATTTTTTTTCTTTCTTGATATGGAGAAAGGGGAGATGCAACAGTGTGATCTGACAGAAGACCAGTACTGTGTGTTTCAGATGATTCACAAATTATTTTTACTTTAACCTTTTTGAAAGTGTTCTGTTAGCACAAGCAGTTGTTAAGAATTGCTTTTAAATGATGTGGGTGGGTCTCCATTGCACCATGTTAAAGAAAGAGTGCAAGAGATAGAGCTGTTTATTTATTTATCTTTTCTTTAAAACATAATGCACTTAAGCATCGTAATTGATTGCAGCCCAGGAGAAAGCTCTGTCACTGTCACCAGGTTGCCACTGGTTGCAGAGTGTTGCTTTATGCATATTCAGAGGATAATGTGGTCACATTCCAGTGGCCAGCCAGGAGTTGCTGCTTGCCTTTGAGTGCCCCTGGGCTGTGTTTTAGGAAAACCTTTTGCTCTTCACCTCACATTGCTGTGATAGTGTGTGAACAGAGTTGCATTGCTCACAAAGCTGGCTGGGAAGGCAGCTCTGACTCAGGGTGATGCTGGACATGGATTACTAGGTGATTTGGTGTGTGTGTGTGTGTGTGTGTGTGTGTGTGTGTTAAACCAAGATGTGCCTTTATGCTTGTATTTCCCATTCTCTCTAGAAAATAAGGTTGTGCTAAATATGTTCCCAAAATGAGAATCACCAGCAAACTAGTTAGTGATTTGAAAGAGCAGCATGACCTATATCTGCTTGTGCTTTTTCACTGATCATTAGCTTCAACCAGAGAAAGGTGTATGAAAGAAAGAAAAGCAGAATGACACTGAGGGTGTTGCCCACTTCTCTCTGGTCATCGTGCCAATCCATCTACAGATCTCTCTTTGTAAGAGCTTACAGTGTATTCTACACGCTGTCGCTCTTTCCTTGCAGCATTCTTTAGGGAGGATTCAGGGCTAAAATTAGTATCCTCTTTTTACAGAGAGGGGGCTTAAAAATACTTCACAGAACTGAGCGAATTGTTCAAGGTCAGTCTGGACAGTACAGGGTCTCTGGTTTTCAGCAGAGTCAATTCATTACTTGCAAGAGACAAATAGGTACTAAAACCTTGAATTACTGGTTATAGGTGAACTTTTTCAAAAGAAGACTGAGAACAAGAGACTGCTTTTGACCAGCTTCTCATCTCTTTAAGCTCAATATAGTCCTTTGCTTTTGCATTCCTTGAACCCAAAGTCAAGTGATGAATGTATGTTCAAGTTTCTTTTGTCCCACATCTTATCATTCTGGGTGCCAAGTAATAAGCCAAGCATTCATTTATTGCCAATGTTCAAGACAGTGTTACTACTCGGTTCACATCTATCCACCATTTTTTATCCATCCAATCATCCAATCAATGAAAGCAGTAGTAAAAATTACTTAGTACTACATGAGAAAACAATGAGATTCCTTCAAAGACTTGGGAACAAGGATATTAGTTCTTTTTGATAATTATGGTTAAAGTCTCACACAGGTGATGAGATTGGCTATCTAAGGAAATATTCAAGGCTGTCACCAAGGAAATCTTGGTATTGTGAGTTGAGATTGGAGTGGGGCAGAGGTGGGGGGGAATTGTAGGTGATTATAATTTAGTAAGTGGAGATTGGTACATTATGTTTTTTTCTGTGGACAGAATAAGGGTGGATCATGAACTTTGGACAATGGAAAGAGAAGCTCAATGGCTCTTAGGTGGGGGTGTTTATCTGGTACTCCCTGCAGGAAGACCCGGGCTTTGGAAGGCCTGATGAGGTGGGGTCAATGGAGAGCCAGGGATAGTCCTCACACCTCACTGTGGTCCGGGCAAAACTGCCCTCATGAGTTGGCCCCTCTTTGTTCTGAATCCATCTTCATTAACATAATTATTTTGATCGGAAATAGGTGCCTGACTGAGGGATAAGATCACTTCAGGCTTCAGAAAGGAATATGCTCCACTTTCAATTAATTACCTGTTGTCTGCTCACTCAGTAGTATGAGTCACCTTCCCTGTAATCACTCAGTTTCCAGTTTGGCAGCCTCCCCCTGGAGGGAAGTAAACTCCCTGAGGTTCTACTTCCTCCTCTGTGAGTTTCTTGGTGCCTTACCGTCCTCATACCTGCCCTTCCTAACAGTCACCATTTCTTGGAGTGCTTGACATGTGCCTGGTACTTTAAATACATACCCTCAGTAATGACCGCAAGACAGCTCTTCCCATTTGTAAGAGTGAAAACAAAATTGAGCTCAAGATTTGTTTAAGAATGTATAGAGACTCTAAGTGAGGGAGCCCAGTTTGAAACCCAGGGCTGTCTGCTTGGCATGCTTTTTCCCAGATACTGCTTTGAACAAAATGTTTCCTTTTGGGGCTGACTCCATAGTGCAGTAGTTAAATGCTGTACACTAGGAGGCAGATTCCACATGGCTGACCTCAGTTCAAATCCCAGCCCTGGAAGCTTGAAAAACATTCTGGGCGGGGCCAGCAGGTGGCATGGTGGTTAAGGGCACTGGACTCCTACACAGCTGACTGTGGTTCAAGTCCCAGACATGGCGGCTTGCTTTCTCGCTTTCTCTCTCTGGTCAAAGAAAAAAAAATGTTAAAAAAAATCGTATTCATCTTTATTTAAAAACAAACAAAAAAAAGATAGAAAGAAAGACACTTTGGGCATGTGCATGCACATGCTTCAAATCCTGACAGGATGGAGAAATGAAGGAGACAGGATTGTGACCTGACCACACTCACTAGAAAGTGCTTTTTCTCTCTCCTCTCACTCCCTTTCTGTCTGGCAAATGTACATACCTTCTGGCAATAAAAAGTTAAACAAAAAATGTTTCCTTCCTTTAGAAAAATTTGTTTCCAGAGATGTAAGTTAGGAACATTGCAGTCTCTCTTTCTCTCAGTATATTTTCAGGGACTCCAGAAAATTTAGACTACAGACATATTACAGTGATTTTTATAAATTCCTTAAAGTAGGAATATTAGGAAATACAAAGGATCTTTAAAAAGTTAATGGGAAATACATATTATGAAAACCTATGTATTGATTTCAAAGTTTGCACCAAAATAAGCTTGTTTTTAACGTTTTTTTTTTTTCAGAGAGATTTTGCTATAGGGTGTGTATGCTCACCAGAGAGACAGACAGAGACAGAGAGACAGAAATTGAGAAATCACCCTCAAGGGGCAATGGCCACGCTGCAATCCCTTCTCCTCCATTCTCTTCTCGGGATTTTGGGCATGCATGCACCTGGCTTTGAGTTTTAAGCCACCAAGTCCAGGACTCGAATTATGGTCGACAACATGGGAGTCCAGCAACTTAACCATTATGCCCTCTGCTGGTCCCCTTAACTCCATTTTTATATAAACTTTTAAAAGTGCCCTTAGGTCAGTAATTAATATTTATTTCACACATTTACAAAATCCCAGATGTTCTCTAAGAAAAAGAAGTTCAGTACAAAGATAAACAGAAAAGCATTAGAATTAGGTTTCATATTTAATAACATATCATTTTCATATTGTATATCTTGATATAATTCTCACACATGAGAGTCTAGAATCCTATAATCCTCTTATCACATTGCCTTTGGGCATTTATTTTCATGTGATGAGATATGAATTATTTAGACAGATTCACTGGTCTCTTGTCAAAGCAAATACACAGAATGCAAGACAGTAGTTTTGACACTTGCATCTTTGTTTAATATACTTGCTCACTGCAATAGCTGGACATAGACAGTGAGTAACTCCAGAGAACGGAATATCATTACTTTGTATGTGGACTGTGAATAAATTCTATAATACACTGAAGTATGAAATGTTAAAATACAAGCTACTACACTCCAGCGATTAGGAAACCTCAAGATACCTCGCAGTCTTGGCCAACTTAAACTCAAATCTCTTTTTATAAGTTCCTTAGCTATATTTAGTATCTAATATCTGTGATATAAGAATTTCTGAGTTATACAAATGTAAACAATTTTGATAACTATATTATTTTTGCTGACTATAAAAGGAAGGAATATATGATCATTACACCAATTAAATTTAAAAGTACAAGAAAATATAAAGAAAAACAAATACCAGGCAGGCCCCATAGCCTAGTAGTTAAGAGACCCAGTTCCACATAGCAGTCACCTGTTCAAATCCTGGCCCTAGTGGCTTAAAAAACACGTAAGGCACATATGTGTGCATGCCCCAAATCCCAACAAGATGAAAAACTAGAGAAGTGATTGTGACACGACCATGCCCCATTGGGGGTGCTTTCTCTCTCCCTCCCTCTATCTCTCTCTGGTGGGTGCCTGTGCCTTCTGGCAATTAAAAAAGAAAAGAAAAAAGTCAATTGTGAGAAATACAGCGATGTAACCCTTGTTCATAGGCCTCACCATGGGTAAACCCATGGGTAAAATTGTTATATTAACATCAGGGTTAAAATTACAATGACCATGATCTCTTTTTTTATTTTTATGTGCAGATTCTTATGTTCCCTTACAAACATTTATAATTTTCATGAAATCATATCTAGCATGGTTTTGCTTTGTGATATCTGACTTCAGTGTTAGCCTTGAAAAGAATCTCTCTATTGTAAATACATGCCTAGGATGTTCCTTATAGGCCAATACTAT